ATGTGTGTGCTATGTTCTTCTTGCCCCACGAGAATGCACCAAATTGACTGCTCAGTCAGTTGAGTGTGTTTTTCTTGGCTAAAGTGATGAGCACAAGGGCTATAGATGTTGGGACCCTGTTGGTCGTCGGCTGCACATTTCGCATGATGTGACTTTTGATGAGTCTCGCTCTTACTATCCGTGCCCTTCCTCCTCAAGCTTCTCTATGGACGGTATTTCTTATTCTTCCTGATACACCCTTCCATGTGCCTCCTGTCTTCCCCTCCCTCTGGCACATCTCACTCCTTCTCATTCATCATCGACACCACCTTCCCCTCCATCCACCTCCCCACCCTCATCCTCCACCTCTCCACCATCATCTCTAGTTTGTCGCCCTCTCTCCATTTCCTCTCCACTACACTCACCGCCCTCGTATTGAGGATGATTCTACTGACGTGCCTTCACTTTCGGAGCACCTCCTCTCACGCCTCCCCCGATTCATAACCGCCATGCTCGGCCTCGCCCCCACCTGATCGCTATTCTCCTGACCGGTATGGTCTCTCTGTTGTTGCTGAACCCACTTCCTATCGGGCTACACTCAGCCTGAATGGCAGCTTGCGATGGCCGAGGAGCTTGCTGCCCTTGAGTGCTCTGGCACATGGGATCTGGTTTCCCTTCCTTCTGGTGTTCGTCCCATCACCTGCAAGTAGGTCTATAAGATTAAGACTCGCTCCGATGGTTCTCTTGAGCGCTACAAAGCTCGTCTTGTGGCTCGTGGCTTTCAGCAGGAGCAGGGTCACGATTATGATGAGACATTCGCTCCTGTGGTACACGTGACCACTGTCCACACTCTCCTTGTTGTGGTTCTGTTCGTCATTGGTCTGTGTCTCAACTTGACGTCCAGAACACTTTTCTCAATGGTGAGTTGTGTGAGGAGGTCTATATGCAGCCACCCCCGGGGTACTACGCTCCTGATGGTATGGTTTGTCGACTTCGACGCTCCCTCTATGGTCTTAAACAGGCCCTCACGCCTAGTCCGAGCGGTTCACCTCTATGGTGACTGCCCATGCCCGCTAGCTTCTTGCCCAGTGATCATGATCCTGCTTTGTTTGTTCACATGTCTCCTCGTGGTCGGACTTTTCTCCTTCTATATGTAGATGACATGATCATCACTGGTGACAACTCTGACTACATTGCCCTTGTTAAGGCCCCCCTTCGCGACAAGTTCCTCATGTCTGATCTTGGTCCACTTCACTATTTTCTTGGGATTAAGGTTTCCTCGACCTCTGATGGCTTCTACATCTCACAGGAAAAATATATTCAGGATCTTCTTGCTTGAGCAGATCTCGGTGATGAGCGCACTGTTGTGACTCCTATGAAGCTCAACGTTCAGCTTCATGCCTCTAACGGTGATCCTCTTCCTAATCCCACTCACTACCGCCACCTCGTTGGGAGCCTTGTCTATCTTGTTGTTACGCGTCTTGACATCTCCTTTCCTGTCCACATTCTCAACCAGTTTGTTTCAGCCCCCACCCATGTCCACTATAGTCATCTCTTCCATGTTCTTGGATATCTTCGTGGCACGATTTCTCATCGTCTTTTCTTCCCCCGCTCTAGCTCTCTCGAGCTCCAGGCCTACTCTGATGCTACGTGGGCTAGTGATCCCTCTGATCGATGCTTGCTGTCTTCTTACTCTGTCTTTGTTGGTGGCTCTCTTATTGCCTGGAAGACAAAGAAACATATTGTAGTTTCTCACTCGAGTACAGAGGCTGAGTTGCGCACGATGGCTATGCTGACGGCTGAGGTGATCTGGTTACGCTGGTTACTTGAGGATTTTGGTGTGTCTGCCACTACATCGACTCCCTTACTGTCCGACAGTACAGGGGCTATTAGTATTGCGTGTGACCCGGTGAAGCATGAGCTCACCAAGCACATCGGTGTGGATGCCCACTTTGTGTGTGCTGCTGTGCAGGATCATACTCTCGCTCTTCACTATGTGCCCTCTGAGTTCCAGTTGGCGGACTTCTTTATGAAGGCACAGACTCGAGCGCGGCATGGGTTCTTTTCCTCCAAACTCAGTGTTGTTGATCCACCATGAGTTTGAGGGGGGGATGTTAGATGTGCATAGTCCCCTTTTCTGTATATCCCCATTGTATAAGGGGCTTCCTGCTTTTTACCTCACATGTACATTTTGGCCCCCTGTGAATGGCAGTGACTCATTATCCAACATGAGAGACCTCACATGAATCGACAGTTTTGACTCCTTTTAGTCTTTTTTTATTTTCAAAGTGGAAACCCATGAAATGTCGGGATCAAAACCCCAGGTCAGATGGTACTGTGGACGTTCATGATTACTGTACAACTAACTGATTTCGTGGAATATGCTTCTTACTTTCTCGTCTGAATGCTTAATAGTATGTTAACTTTGCAATGTGATGGAACCAATAGACCTTATACCCTTGAGTGTATGAAACATTGCACATATTTCTCAATTTTTTTACTCAGCAACAGCCAATCAATGTCAATGAAGGTTTCTTACATTTACTAGTAGTTCCAACCAATTCCGGAGAACGTGCAAACCAGAAAACCAGAAGCAAAACAAAATTTGGATCACGTTTTAGATCTGTTGCTGCAAAACAAAATTTCCATCAGGCTTTAGATCTGTTATTTCCTAGTTCTAATCAGCATAAACTGAATCCTCTTATCTGCCTGCGCGGTGCAGGCAATGTCTTTCGAGGGCGCCATTGATTATTGTGTTGAGCAGATTCATGCAATTCATTTACATGAAAGAGTAGATCCTGTGAATGCATTGGACTTTTGTGGTCTCTACTCAGACTTTAGGCCAGTGGAAATTGACGATGAGTGTTTCTACAGGAGCTTCATAATTTCCTATCTTTGTTTATGCCGATGTACGACAGGAGCAAGTTCTTGATAGGCAAGACACAAATGAGGAAGAATGCCTCCTTGCAGCTATCGAAGAGGTTGCTGAGGAGGAACATGCACGTTTTGGATGGGCCTCTGAATTTTCTAATAGCCCACAAAGTAAGTTCCTGACTTTTTCCACAATTGTGTTTTTTCTTGGATAAACATATCCATAAGAGACAATTCTCTTCAAGTTACTGTACATGTCAAAATAGATTCAGCTGTCTAACCATCATTGTTGTATCGTTTGAAGGAGATGCACAATTGCTTAGCAGTAGTGACATGGCATTGCAGTTTACGCCCTGCTGAGGCAAACTCAAGTCTGAAGCTTATTATAATGTTACAACCTGAAACCCAACTTAGCAAAAATGCACCTTAAGTTTATTTGTAAGGGATACTAGTGTGACAATGTAAACTGCAAGAGTATAATTCTATGCTTCATTGAACACTGAAATGCTTCAGACCCGCTGCTTCTCATGATGTAGCCATCTTAACATTCTGTTACTAAGTATTCATACTCTTTAACTATTTTATAGTACTCCTAGATTGTTAATAACTGAAGTTTTTCAGGCGATTTGTTACCCTAGTTATGTTTGTTAATATCATGTTATTTAGTATCAATAGTGTATGTAAGCACTTTTGTAACCGATGGTATCGCCTTACATAGCTGTATGGAATGGTTACCAAATGCGATATGTTAACTCATGGAATTGTTTCAGCCATTTAAGGAGTTGATAAAGAAAGTAAAGAGCTGGAAGAAAAAACGCACATTGATCCCCGTATTAACTGACAGGTTTTTGATATGCTTGGTTTTCTGCAATTCCGGCCAGGTATTGTGGCCGAATGCTTCCATCTCACTGACTTAATCTGCTTCTTTGTCAGATACCTTATGCGGAAACTTCTCAAGTTCTTCAGCACTGATGATCGAACAGAAGACAGTGAGAAAACACTTCTCAACTTATCCTTCAGTCATCAACCTATCTTTCCCTCAGTTCATCCCAATTAATGTTTCTGACACATTTTTGGTGGTTAGTTTTTGTTTTCCTTAGGTTAGTAGCAGCTATCTTGTTAGGCTCGCACACGGCGGACTATGAAGAGGTTATACTTGGACTTGGAGAAAATGACAGTGTGACAGATGTGAGTATCAGCATATCTTCCTTAACATCATGTCATCCTGAATTTCCGATCCATTAGTTTCAACGTGCTGATTCAGTAGTAGACTGGCTTCTTTCGACACTTTTCAAGAACATCAACATTTGTCATGAAAATTTGTGCCCTTTTGCTTACATCAACACATGCTCTAGTTGCTGCGTGGCGCTACAAGTATTAGGAGAGCAAAAAATGAAATCAAACAATAGTATTATCACTTTAGAAATTGTGGTGCCTTTCAATGTTCTGAAGCACAGCATATCTTCTCTTCATCTCCTTGATTAGATGATAGGCAAAGGCTCACCGTTCCATTCCATGAGGCATTCCAACAGCGCGTCGTTGTGCTTACCCTGGTTCATGGCAATAAACACCTTGTCCACCTCCTCCCCAGGTGATCGCGTCTTCTCTCAGGTCAAGTACACCATTCCAAGCTCCTCGCGCACGAACCGATACAGAGGGTATGATCGGTAGTCAGTGATACGGTTCGGTTCTGCAGCAGTGCCATTCTCCACTGCACCTCTAGCAGCCTCAACCTCCCGAGGCAGTGTCGCGCAGAGCTCCTGCTCGAATTTGGCAACCTTGGCAAACACCGAGGTCTCCACATTGTGCTCAGCCTCACCGTTGGCCAGAGCATGCTCCACCAGCACCGCGCGCATCTTCTTCATGAGAGGGTATTTGGCGCTGCAAGGGTCGTCCGCGTATGCAAACACCGCCTCGCGGTCAATTGTTTGGAGTAGGTCCTTCTCATAAAAAAGTGCGTTGTGGAGACCACCCATGTCATTTGTGATCAGTGTCTTCCTGGCCACTCTTGTGACACAATTCTTGACGGCATTCTTGACATTCTCCTCGAGGTGGCGCGGGTCAATGGCTTGGCACAACGCAACCAAAAATGTAGAGGACATGAGCTTCAGAATGTCGATGGCATCGGCAGTCTTCCGGGCCGAGATTAATTAGAGGGAGTTAACGTCTTGGTTGTGTTGCTCCGCACTCTGGACATGGTTGGTCACAGGGTTGCCCAAGAATTGGAGCTCCGAGCAGTATGAAGCCATGGCGATCTCGGCACCCTTGAAGCCATAGTCCAGGCTTGGGTTGCGGCGACCTGAGAGGTTGGAGGGAAAACCATTGTTCTAGAAGTCATTCACTAGCTCCGAGAACTGGGCAAACATGAGCTTGCCAATAGCAGCAACCGCAAGCCTCATGTTGTCCATCAACACACCGATGTGCGTGCCTTGGAAGTTGCCACCGTGAATTGCCTTTCCACGAGATACGTCAATGAGTGGGTTGTCATTAACGGAGTTGATCTCGCGCTCAATCAACTTCGTCGCTGCACGGATGACCTCAGTTTGTGGCCCAAGCCATTGCAGCGATGTGCGGAGAGCATATCTGTCTTGCTTTGGCTTCATCAATAGGTCGAGCTCACCAAGCTTCTTCGTGAGCATCATGTAGGAGCTTCCCTCCAGGATGTGCTAGATAATTGCCGCGGCCTCGATCTGTCCAGGGTGGTGCTTCAACTTGTGTGTCAGATGGTTAGTGTACTCTGGCTTGCCGTTCATCACTTCGCAGAACACGGCTGACAAAACTTCAACAAGCACACCAAGGACATTCGCTTCAAAGAGAACTATGGACGCGAGTCCAGAGCCCACCGCCGTGCCATTAACCATAGCAAGGCCTTCCTTGGGCTGCAGCTTGATACGTCTCCAACATATCTATAATTTTTTATTGCTCCATGCTATATTATTTACTGTTTTGAATGTTTATGGGCTTTATTATACACTTTTATATCATTTTTGGGACTAACCTATTAACCCAGAGCCCAGTGCCAGTTTTTGTTTTTACCCTGTTTTAGGGTTTTGAAGAAAAGAAAAACCAAATGGAGTCCAATTGACCTGAAACTTCATGGAACTCATTTTTGGAAGGAAAGAAGCCAGAAGACTTGGAGTGCACGTCGGGGGATCTGCGAGGAGGTCACGAGGCAGGGAGTGCGCCCACCCCCTGGGCGCGCCCTCCACCCTCGTGAGCCCCTCATGGCCCCCCTGGCGTACTTCTTCCGCCTATATATCTCCATATACCCTAAAAACATCCGGGGGCACAATAGATCGGGAGTTCCGCCGCCAGAAGCCTTCGTAGCCACCGAAAACCAATCTAGACCCGTTCTGGCACCCTGCCGGAGGGGGAATCCCTCTTTGGTGGCCATCTTCATCATCCCGGTGCTCTCCATGACGAGGAGGGAGTAGTTCTCCCTTAGGGCTGAGGGTATGTACCAGTAGCTATGTGTTTGATCTCTCTCTCTCTCTCTCGTGTTCTTGATTTGGCATGATCTTGATGTATCGCGAGCTTTGCTATTATAATTGGATCCTATGTTTCTCCTCCCCCTCTTCTCTCTTGTAATGGATTGAGTTTCCCCTTTGAAGTAATCTTATCGGATTGAGTCTTTAAAGATTTGAGAACACTTGATGTATGTCTTGCCGTGCGTATCTGTGGTGACAATGGGATACCACATGATTCACTTGATGTATGTTTTGGTGATCAACTTGCGGGTTCCGCCCATGAACCTATGCATAGGGGTTGGCACACGTTTTCGTCGTGATTCTCCGGTAGAACTTTGGGGCACTCTTTTGAGGTCCTTTGTGTTGGTTGAATAGATGAATCTGAGATTGTGTGACGCATATCGTATAATCATACCCACGGATACTTGAGGTGACATTGGAGTATCTAGGTGACATTAGGGTTTTGGTTGATTTGTGTCTTAAGGTGTTATTCTAGTACGAACTCTAGGGCTGTTTGTGACACTTATAGGAATAGCCCAACGGATTGATTGGAAAGAATAACTTTGAGGTGGTTTCGTACCCTACCATAATCTCTTCGTTCGTTCTCCACTATTAGTGACTTTGGAGTGACTCTTTGTTGCATGTTGAGGGATAGTTATGTGATCCAATTATGTTATTATTGTTGAGAGGACTTACACTAGTGAAAGTATGAACCCTAGGCCTTATTTCCACGTATTGCAATACCGTTTGTGCTCACTTTTATCATCAGTTACCTTGCTGTTTTTATAATTTCAGATTACAAATACCTTTATCTACCATCCATATACCACTTGTATCACCATCTCTTCGCCGAACTAGTGCACCTATACAATTTACCATTGTATTGGGTGTGTTGGGGACACAAGAGACTCTTTGTTATTTGGTTGCAGGGTTGCTCGAGAGAGACCATCTTCATCCTACGCCTCCTACGGATTGATAAACCTTAGGTCATCCACTTGAGGGAAATTTGCTACTGTCCTACAAACCTCTGCACTTGGAGGCCCAACAACGTCTACAAGAAGAAGGTTGTGTAGTAGACATCAAGCTCTTTTCTAGCGCCATTGCCAGGGAGGTGAGTGCTTGAAGGTATATCTTTAGATCTTGCAATCGAGTCTTTTAGTTTCTTGTTTTATCACTAGTTTAGTTTATAAAAGAAAACTATAAAAAATGGAATTGAGCTTGTCTCATACGCTTCACCTTTTTTAATATCTTTCGTGAGTATGATGGAAAGGAAAATTGTGCCGAAGTATTAGAAGAAGAAATCTATAAAATGTTTGGCACTAAATATTTGAATGATGAGCATGATTGCAATGTTGTTAGTATGAATTCCTTGAATATCCATGATGCTAATGATATGCAAAGCCACAAGCTTGGGGAAGCTATGTTTGATGAAGATGATATTTTTTGTCCCCCAAGTTTTGATGAGCAAATTTATTATGATGAAATCATGCCTCCTATCTATGAACTATGATGATTATTGTGATGACACGTATGCCTTAAAGAATAATAATAACAATGAAACTTGTCATCTTGATTTCAATTTTCAATCCCATGATAGTTACTTTGTTGAGTTTGCTCCCACTATTATTCATGAGAAGAATTTTGCTTATGTGGAGAGTAATAAAATTTCTATGATTGTAGATCATGAAAAGATTGCTTTAGGTGCTGGTTATATTGTTGAATTCATTCATGATGCTACTGAAAATTATTATGAGGGAGGAATATATGCTTGTAGGAATTGCAATAATTTCAAGTTTCCTCTCTATGTGCTTAAAGTTTCAAAGTTATGCTTGTTTTGCCTTTCTATGCTAGTTGATTATTGTTCTCATAAGTTGTTTGCTCAAAAAATCCCTATGCATAGGAAGTGGGTTAGGCTTAAATGTGCTAGTCATATTCTTCATGATGCTCTCTTTATGTTTCAATTTTTATCCTTTATGTGAGCATCATTGAAATCATCATGCCTAGCTAGGGGCGTTAAACGATAGCGCTTGTTGGGAGGCAACCCAATTTTATTTTTATTCCTTGATTTTTGCTCCTGTTTAGTGATAAATAATTCATATAACCTCTGTTTATATGTGGTTTTATGTTTTCATTAGTGTTTGTGCCAAGTAGAACATTTGGGAAGACTTGGGGGAAGTCTTTGTGATCATGCTGTAAAAAACAGAAACTTTAGCGCTCACGAGAATTGCTGCCATTTTTATTTGGAGAGTGATATTTAGTTAATTCTTTTTGAAGATGATTAATAGATAAATTCCTTAGGTATAGAAATTTATTTGAGAAATTTATTAGTTCCAGAAGTATACGTTTGATCCATATTACTACAGACTGTTCTGTTTTCGACAGATTCTGTTTTTCATGTGTTGTTTACTTATTGTGATGAATCTATGGCTAGTAAAATAGTTTATAAACCATAGATAAGTTGGAATACAGTAGGTTTAACACCAATATAAATAAATAAGGCACCCCCAAGATAATCTAAGGATACCTAAAAGCCAAAGCTTGGGGATGCCCCGGAAGGCATCCCCTCTTTCGTCTACTTCTATCGGTTACTTTACTTGGAGCTATATTTTTATTCGCCACATGATATGTGTTTTGCTTGGAGCATCAATTTATTTTGTTAGAATTTTCTTTCTGTTATTTAGAACAATTTTTTGCATCTTTTATTTCAATAAAAGTGTCATAGATAGCCTTTACTATGCCTATTTTACAAGTCTTCATGTTGCTGTTTGAAAACAGAAAGTTTACCGCTGTTGCAATAATTCCCTAGAAAATTAAGAATGTGATAAAATGTTGAAACCTTTTGAATATTAAGCTCTGATAAATTTACTACAGTGGGAGTTTTATTTCATAATTTTTGGAGGTAGGGAAGTATGGATGTTGTTGCATTCTTTACAGACTATCCTGTTTAGGCAGATTGCTGTTATGTTTGCATTTTTTGCATATGTTTGCTTCTTTAATGATTCTATTTGAGGATAGGACTATTAAATATGCAAAGGCATTTAGTATGCAATGTTGAATAATAATTTTAGTGATTTGCTACAGTAGAGTATGATAAGGTTTTTGCAATGGTTTATACTAACTTATCTCACGAGTCCTTGTTGAGTTTTGTGTGGATGAAGATTTTCAGATTTAGGGAGACCATGATATCAGAGGAATTAAGGAGACACAAAAGCTCAAGCTTGGGGATGCCCAAGGAATCCCAAGATAATATTTCAAGAAGTCTCAAGCATCTAAGCTTGGGGATGCCCCGGTTCGCATCCCACCTTTCTTCTTCAACAACTATCGGTTAGTTTCGGTTGATCCTAAGTTTTTGCTTCTTCACATGATGTTTTCCATTCTTAGAATGTCATTTTATTTTGTTTTGATTGATGTTTGAATATAATACCAAGATCTATTAAATGTTAGAGAGTCTTCACATAGTTGCATAATTATTCGACTATTCATTGATCTTCACTTATATCTTTCGGAGTAGTTTGCCATTTGGTCTAGTGCTTCACTTATATCTTTTAGAGCATGGTGGTAGTTTTATTTTGAAGAAATAGATGAACTCTCACGCTTCACTTAGATTATTTTGAGAGTCTTAAAAAGCATGGTAATTTTCTTAAAATCCTAATATGCTAGGTATATAAGAATAGTAAAAACTTTCACATAGAGTATTGAATACTAAGAGAAGTTTGATGCTTGATGATTGTTTTGAGATATGGAGATAATAATATCAAAGTTGTGCTAGTTGAGTAGTTGTGAAATTGAGAAATGCTTGTGCTGAAGTTTGCAAGTCCCGTAGCATGCACGTGTGGTAAACGTTGTGTAACAAATTTGAAACATGAGGTGTTATTTGATTGTCCTCCTTATGAGTGGCGGTCGGGGACGAGCGATGGTCTTTTCCTACCAATCTATCCCCCTAGGAGCATGCGTGTAGTGCCGAGGTTTTTGATGACTTGTAGATTTTTGCAATAAGTATGTGAGTTCTTTATGACTAATGTTGAGTCCATGGATTATACGCACTCTCACCCTTCCATCCTTGCTAGCCTCTTCGGTACCGTGCATTGCCCTTTCTCACATTGAGAGTTGGCGCAAACTTCGCCGGTGCATCCAAACCCCGTGATATGATACGCTCTTTCACACATAAACCTCCTTATATCTTCCTCAAAACAGCCACCATACCTACCTATTATGGCATTTCCATAGCCATTCCGAGATATATTGCCATGCAACTTTCCACCATCCAATTTATCATGACACAATCATCATTGTCATATTGCTTTACATGATCATGTAGTTGACATAGTATTTGTGGCAAAGCCACCGTTCATAATTCTTTCATACATGTCACTCTTGGTTCATTGCATATCCCGGTACACCGCCGGAGGCATTCATATAGAGTCATCTTTGTTCTAGTATCGAATTGTAATCATTGAGTTGTAAATAAATAGAAGTGTGATGATAGTCATTATTAGAGCATTGTCCCAAGTGAGGAATAAAAAAAAGAGAAAGGCCATAAAAAAGAGAAGGCCCAAAAAAAGAGAAATGCCATAAAAGAAGAAAAGAGAAAGGCCATAAAAAAAGAGAAGGCCCAAAAAAAATGAGAGAAAAAGAGAGAAGGGACAATGCTACTATCCTTTTCCACACTTGTGTTTCAATCTTTATGATAGAGAGTCTCTTGTTTTGTCACTTTCATATACTAGTGGGAATTTTTCATTATAGAACTTGGCTTGTATATTCCAACAATGGGCCTCCTCAAGTGCCCTAGGTCTTCATGAGCAAGCAAGTTGGATGCACACCCACTAGTTTCTTTTGTTGAGCTTTCATACATTTATAGCTCTAGTGCATCCGTTGCATGGCAATCCCTACTCCTTACATTAACATCAATCGGTGGGCATCTCCATAGCCCATTGATTAGCCTCGTTGATGTGAGACTTTCTCCTTTTTGTCTTCTCCACATAACCCCCCTCATTATATTCTATTCCATCCATAGTGCTATATCCATGGCTCGCACTCATGTATTGCGTGAAAGTTTATAGGTTTGAGATTTATAAAGTATGAAACAATTGCTTGGCTTGTCATCGGGGTTGTGCATGATGAGAGCATTCTTGTGTGACGAAAATGGAGCATGACTAAACTATATGATTTTGTAGGGATGAACTTTCTTTGGCCATGTTATTTTGAGAAGACATAATTGCTTAGTTACTATGCTTGAAGTATTATTATTTTTATGTCAATATGAACTTTTGTCTTGAATCTTTCGGATATGAATATTCATGCCACAATTAAGAAGAATCACATTGAAATTATGCCAAGTAGCACTCCGCATCAAAAATTCTGTTTTTATTATTTACCTACTCGAGGACGAGCAGGAATTAAGCTTGGGGATGCTGATACGTCTCCAACGTATCTATAATTTTTGATTGCTCCATGCTATATTATTTACTATTTTGAATGTTTATGGGCTTTATTATACACTTTTATATCATTTTTGGGACTAACCTATTAACCCAGAGCCCAGTGCCAGTTTCTGTTTTTACCCTGTTTTAGGGTTTCGAAGAAAAGGAAAACCAAACGGAGTCCAATTGACCTGAAACTTCACGGACCTCATTTTTGGAAGGAAAGAAGCCCAGAAGAATTGGAGTGCACGTCGGGGGATCTGCGAGGAGGTCACGAGGCAGGGGGCGCACCAACCCCCCTGGGCGCACCCTCCACCCTTGTGAGCCCCTCGTGGCCCCCCTCGCGTACTTCTTCCGCCTATATATCTCCATATACCCTAAAAACATCCGGGGGCACAATAGATCGGGAGTTCCGCCGCCAGAAGCCTCCGTAGCCACCGGAAACCAATCTAGACCCGTTCCGGCACCCTGCCGGAGGGGGAATCCCTCTCCGGTGGCCATCTTCATCATCCCGGTGCTCTCCATGACGAGGAGGGAGTAGTTCTCCCTCGGGGCTGAGGGTATGTACCCGTAGCTATGTGTTTGATCTCTCTCTCTCTCTCTCTCTCTCTCTCTCTCTCTCTCTCTCGTGTTCTTGATTTGGCACGATCTTGATGTATCGCGAGCTTTGCTATTATAGTTGGATCCTATGTTTCTCCTCCCCCTCTTCTCTCTTATAATGAATTGAGTTTCCCCTTTGAAGTAATCTTATCGGATTGAGTCTTTAAAGATTTGAGAACACTTGATGTATGTCTTGCCGTGCGTATCTGTGGTGACAATGGGATACCACATGATTCACTTGATGTATGTTTTGGTGATCAACTTGCGGGTTCCGCCCATGAACCTATGCATAGGGGTTGGCACACGTTTTCGTCGTGATTCTCCGGTAGAACTTTGGGGCACTCTTTTGAGGTCCTTTGTGTTGGTTGAATAGATGAATCTGAGATTGTGTGGCGCATATCGTATAATCATACCCACGGATACTTAAGGTGACATTGGAGTATCTTGGTGACATTAGGGTTTTGGTTGATTTGTGTCTTAAGGTGTTATTCTAGTACGAACTCTAGGGCTGTTTGTGACACTTATAGGAATAGCCCAACGGATTGATCGGAAAGAATAACTTTGATGTGGTTTCGTACCCTACCAAAATCTCTTCGTTCGTTCTCCGCTATTAGTGACTTTGGAGTGACTCTTTGTTGCATGTTGACGGATAGTTATATGATCCAATTATGTTATTATTGTTGAGAGGACTTACACTAGTGAAAGTACGAACCCTAGGCCTTATTTCCATGTATTGCAATAGCATTTGTGCTCACTTTTATCATTAGTTACCTTGCTGTTTTTATAACTTCAGATTACAAATACCTTTATCTACCATCCATATACCACTTGTATCACCATCTCTTTGCCGAACTAGGTGCACCTATACATTTACCATTGTATTGGGTGTGTTGGGGACACAAGAGACTCTTTGTTATTTGGTTGCAGGGTTGCTCGAGAAAGACCATCTTCATCCTATGCCTCCTACAGATTGATAAACCTTAGGTCATCCACTTGAGGAAATTTGCTATTGGCCTACAAACCTCTGCACTTGGAGGCCCAACAACGTCTACAAGAAGAAGATTGTGTAGTAGACATCATAACTCGAAGAAGCCGTGCTGCATGCACGCAATCTTAAATGCCTGGAGGCATTAACCTTGGTACCATCGGGAGCCATAGCCACGGCATTTGGGGCGGCCGGTGACAAGTCCCGCGATGTAGGAGAGCGGAACGAGATCGCCGATAGCGGCGATGGTGCCCCGGAGCAGCAGGCATGATGTAACGTTGGCATTGAGCAGCGTGGCAATTGTCTCAAGAATCTCAAAGCGGATGCCGGAGTACCCTTGGAGCAGGGTGTTGACGCGGACAAGCATCGCCGCGCGCGTGGTGGCCGCTGGCAGCACGTGACCATCGCTGCCGGTGCCGAATGCCCCTGCGTTAAGGAACCGAATGAGCTCCCTCTGCAGAGCGTCGCCCTCCTTGGTCCTCCGATGGGAGGTGGCGCCGAAGCCGGTGGTGACGTCGTAGCTGTCGGTGCCGTTGGCCATGCTGTACATGACCCAGTCGCTGCTCTCCTTGACGCGGCTGCGGGCGGACTCGTCGAGCTCCACCCTGGCACCGTCGGCGGCGGTCACAGCCGCAGACCTGGGCGATGGTCAAGCTGGCGCCCTCCATGACCACCACCGGCCTGCGGTACTCCTCCACCATCCGCTTGACGGCGTCCAGATGGCTCCTCGACAGCTCCTCCGCCGCCTTCCCCCAGTTGAGCGGGTCAGCACTCCGTGGCTGGGCCACGAAAATACCATCGCTGCCGTTGGCGGCCATTGGTTTGATCAACACTGTATTTTTGAAGTCCCGCTTGCAGCAGTTGTGACTTGTGAGAGAGAGAAGAGCTCGACTGTGTCAGCTGGATTTTTTATGTGGCGATTGACTGATGAAATTGTGGAGCAGCCGTGAGAGAGAAGAGCTCATTGGAGTAGGAAAGGTCAGGATGCTCTTCTTGGATTGGAATGGAGGAGAGGGAAGGATTTAAATAGGTAGTGCAAGCAGGGTGGGTGGGGAACTGGGGATTGGTGTGGACTATGACCGGGATGGTTGTGTTGACCGCCGGACTTGGCACAAAGGTTGGGTTGGTGGCCTCGTGGCTAAATTTCGTGTCTTGATCCTTTTTTAAAACCTATTCAAGATTTGATTTTAGTTTGAAATTTTTTTGAGATCTGACTTTTTGTTACCGTTAGGGATCATGGCGGTAGGGTATAACAGCCTACCGCCAAGGTCCCTGGCTGTAGGGTTGCATGCCCTATCACTAAAAACCTTTTAAGTATTGAACACAGTGCGTGCTTGTGCCTACCGCCAAGCACCTTAGCGATAGGGTTGTGCAGGCTACCGTCAGCCCGGTTGGCGGTAGCGATGTTTCCTACCGCCAAAGTCCCTGGCGGTAGGTTGTTAGACCCTACCGCCATGGACTCTTGCGGTAGCAAAAAGATCAAATCTCAAAAAAAAATCAAACTAAGATTAAATCTTGAATAAGTTTAGAAAAGAGTCAAAACACAAAAATTTGCCTGGCCTCGTACGTGCGGACTTTGAACAAGGCCAAGACACGCAGCTGCTGCGACGATGGGATGTTAGTATAATATGCAGTGCAAATGTGCTGTGCGAGGGGGACGCACGAGTCGACGCCCCTGCACGCGGTTGCTGCGTGATGGTGATGGTTTTCATCTGCCATTTTTAGGTCGCTGATTAACCATTCGGCGGCCATCTTTTAGTCTGGTTTGGAGATGAGCTCCCATCATTGTTCCAGTCCGTTTTAGATTTATTTCAGTTATTAGGTACTTCCTTCATTCGTAAATAAGTGTATATCTAGTTTTTGTCTTAAATCACAGTTTTAAAATTTTGACCATCTTTTTAGGAAAAAGTAAAAGCATTTATGACACCAAATTAGTACCATTAGATTCGTTTTGAAATATACTTTGATAATATATCAATTTGATGTCATATATGTTACTATTATTTTTTATAAAGTTGATCAAAATTTTAAAACTTTGACATAGAACAAAAGCTAGATGTACACTTATTCGCGGACGGAAGAAGTACTTCCTCCGTTCCTTTTTACTTTGCATATAAGATTTGGTCAAAATCAAACTGCATAAAGTTTGACCAAATTTATATAAAAAAATTATGAACATCTACAATACTAAAACTGTATAGTATGAACATATGTTTCATGGTGCATCTGATAATGTTGATTTCATATTGTGAATGTTTATATTTTTTAATATAAAATTAGTCAAACTCTACAAAGCTTGACTTTGACCAAATCTTATATACGAACTAAAAAGAAACAAAGAGAGTACGTCCTAGTCTGATTCTTGTATGATTAGGGGCGTGTTCGGCAACGGACCACTTCAGTGAAATCACTCACTCCGCTCCGCTCAACGCTGGGAGCGCTCCAGCGAGCGAGAGCGGTAGTGGCGCGTTCGGCTGGCTCCGCTTCACGTAAGTGTGGGCTGCCAGCCCATTGCAGGCAAATACAGCGTTCAAGTGCAAGAGAGAGATGAGATAAATGGGAGGGTACCGGTTCAGGTCTCTCACTTGGCGGTGGCATTTTCTGTAATTTCGAGTTGATTCAGATTCTGCTGAAACGTGGAGCGACAGAAGTGCTTCTCTATAAAAATGAACCGCGCGGCTCCACTCTGCGACTTCAGCTCCGTGGATATGGAGAGTTCGGATCCGCTCCGCCTACTCCAGCAGCGGAGTTGAGACCCGGGGTGTTTCCGAATAGGCCCTAAGTGAGACTGATCCTTCGCAAATGCATGGTACATATTGTAGCGGAGCTCTGACTTACATCATGGCTTTTTGATCATGACTTGAAGATGGCAAGTTCACATGGGAGATTTGCATGAGTTTGGTCTTTTGGATAAATATGGAGGGTGATTTTATATTAACTTAAAATAAAACATCAAACGGATTTTTCATAGCCAAAACACAAAACACGAACAATACTCAGCTTTTTTTCCGTGAGAAGAACAACACTCAGCTTTGCATAACCAAAACACAAAACACCAACAGTCTCGTAAAAAAGAAAAAACAACATATCGGCAATTCACATATTATGTTGCTACTTATGTTAGGTGAAACCCTCACGGGCCATGATTAGGTGAGACTAGTTCTTTTTTGATGCGGAGCATCTCACGATCATTCTATGGACGCGCCTACACCTCCAACGACACCACTTGGACCAATGACAAGAGCTCGAGCCAAGGCTATTGAAGATAAGGTGAACTCACTCCTCTCCGAACTTCCATTTTCCATGCATGAGAATTGGCTACTACCTCAAGTGGAAACCCTATGTGTGATCAGGTGCTTTGAGGGAAGCCACGGACCATCTACACTCAACGGACAAGACGATGAGGACGCCAAGTTCATGGGACAAGAAGAAGAACTGCTCGAAGTCCCAGGCCCCAGACGACCGACGAACCCCGGACATCCGACGACCTCCAGGCTCCGGACGCCCGGCCCCCTCCGGACGACCGACGTTTCCACACCCGAGACAAAACCACGGACTTCCGAAGCGCTACGGACGACCGACGACCTCCAGGCTCCGGACGTCCGACCCCGACCGGACGTCCGACCGAAATCCACCCGAGCCGAATCTACGGACGTCCGACAGGCACCGGACGTCCGGACCCTCGCGAGCCTCCGAACGATCGGTGACTCCCGGATGTCCGACGCCTGTGCGCTGTTACGTGTTGGGCCGCAGCCCATGTACCCCCCCACTTCATCCCCTTTTACACTAAGACTATAAATAGACCTCTCCCTCCTTCTTTCTAGGGTCAGCAAAGGATTAGCTCATATTTTGTGTGATAGCTTTGCTCATCCACTTGGTTACCTTCTCCTCGGAGATTCGGGCCTCCACCGGAGAAGATCCCCCAAGTGGATTCAAGACCCCTTTTAGGGAAGAACTCAAGACCTCCTCACGGAGAAGACCGGCTACCTTTTGTATCGTCCCTAATTGATCGTGGATCGTGTATCTCCCCTTATGTACTCGAGGATCTAGCACATGTGTGACTATTTCATGTTGGTTTGAGTGTTCCTCTTTGTGGTTTCCCCTCGTGTTCTTCGCGGGATCCGCTCCTTTCGTGAAAGATCGGCCCCTAGGGTTCCTACCCTACATCATCTTGGTATCTAGAGCCACGTTGATCACGATATCGGAGCCTCCCCGTTGTGTTTCTAGCCTTGTTTTTGTTGTTTTCCGTCCTAATCCGAAAATCCCCACAAAAATAGCCCCAAATTTTTGTTTTGTGATTTGTTGGTGTGTTGAAATTTTGTTAGTTTTGATCCATGGATTTGCTTTGTTTTGAGTGGATCTAGCTTTTCCCCTTGTCTCCACCCTTTCCATCCACAAAATCACCCGCAATCGTCGAATTTCCACCTCTCCACCTCGAACACGTGAAGTTCATCCCGTGCCCGAAAGTCACGCAGGCACCGGGCGTCCGACCCAGCCCGGACGTCCGACGATCCCTGACGAAACTGAACTTTTTCAGTTTAGTCATCACCACCGCCCCACATTTCCGCATACGCACTCCCACAATCCTTACACCATCACCACTTCCGCATACCACCACCATTGCTTACCCATTTCGCTCTCCGACACGTTTGCCACTTTGAGCTTTGAGAATTTGAGTTGTGGTACCGTGTCCTACTTGTGTTTCGGCTATTTAGGTACGGTTCGACATCAACATCACCGTCGCTCATCTTCTCCACGGACGCGTCATCAACAACGACAACATCGACTATATCTTGGTATTTGTGCCACCATTTTGACACCATACCGTAAGCAAGAACGGTAACCTCACCTTGGTATTGGACATATCATTCTTGCCATTACATTGATAGCCATCATAGCCTTACTCCTTTGCGTTGCTTACCCATCGAGACTAGCCTTTGAGTATTGCCGGCAACGAGACTTGTGCACATTAGTGATCATTCTTCCCATAGCATACATACATCATTGTTGCATATCTCGGTATCATCTGTTGTGTCACAAGGTTGTGATCGCATACACAATTGCTATCTTGGTTCGTGAAGCATTGCATGAGAAAAGAGCTCAAACAACAAAGAGCCAAACAAGCTTTTAAGCAAAAAGGAACGATAAGCAAAGAGCTTTTAAGCAAGAACCATAGCATCATACAACATTAAGATTGTCATACTAGATCATCTTGGATCATATCATAGAAACACCTTGCATAGAGCATACTTGGGATAGAAGTCGTTGCATTTTTGCTAAGTAGGTTGTGCACAAGTCTTTGTATCTGCCTATTGTGCAATCGTGCTAGCGTCTCTCTAGTGTTGTGCAACAAGAGCATTTTTGTGGATTCCACATTTTGGCTCATCCTTGGTTGCACGACCCCACTTATCTTTTTGCATGTGTGTTTCCGTGTACCTTATATGTCCGCCCGTATGAGCCGGGCTGTGAATATTTATAGGTCGGGGTCTTTACTGAAAAACCACAATACTACACTACAACAATTTGAAGAAATCCGTAAGTGACTCTAATTTGAATTCACTAGTCGTGTTGAGTTTTTTTTGCTTGGTCTACTTGTTACATTGCAATCTTGCAAATCCTTTCCAAAATTATTGAAGCTCACTTACAATTGCATCAAATTTTGTGCCACCATCCTAACCAAGCTCCACCATAAGCTTTTACTTGTGTAGGTGTGAGAAACCGACAAGAGCTAGTACCAATTGTGATATTTCCTTGTCCTACATTGGAGTGATCATTGATCCACTTTCAACTTCGGTCAAG